TTTTTTTTTTTTTTTTGGCAGAACCGGGGATTGAACTCAGGCCCTTGTGCTTGCCAGGGAAGCGCTTATTCCACTGAGCCATCTCCCCGGCCCCCGAACAGATGAATTCTGTAATGAAGTCTAAGTAGTAAATAGTGAAAATTCAAAGTCAACTTTATTTCCTGTCCAGGACATGGCTTATTCTAAAGCAATGTGGTGATAGCTGGTGGGCCAGCTGGCAGTGGAGAGGAGAAATGATCCCTCCCTGGACTGCTAGTTCTTCCATCCCACTTGAGGAGTCCACTCTCCACTCACTCAAAAAATGCACAAGTAGCCAGGCACAGAGGGGCATGGCTCTAATTCCAGCACTCAGGAGCCTGAGATGAAAGCATTTCCTCGAGCTTAAGACCAGCCTGTATGTTGCACCTTTCTGGACCCCATGCCTTAAAGGGTCCTGTTCGATTATACTTTCCCAATGGAGTGAAGAGACTGTAGGGCATGTTCCCCCATGCCCCAAAACCCAGATCTCTTTTAGACTTCATCAGGGCCTCACAATTTCCTGTACCAATGGCACAAGCTATTGCACCAAAGGGCAGGCTTGTCACACTCACATGTGACAGCCTGGGAATTATCAGCTTCCATCAAGCCTTCCTCTGAAGACCTTGAAAGAGGGACACTCGTAGCAGTGGGGCCAGGCACTGGCAGGCAGAATTTGCCTGGCTGTCACTGAGTGCTTTTAGAGAAGAAATCCTGGGGCTTCTACACTTAAGAGGTGGCTGGACAGTGGGTGTGGGGAGGGGGTGACTAGTAGGTAAGCAGCGGACTTTGAGCAAGAAGCAGCCCTCAGTAAAGGTTAAAATAAAATGGATATATATATAGACTTTGGGTCTTGATATGTAGTACAGGCTTGTCTTGAACTTGTTATGTAGCACAGGCTGCCCAAGTCTAAGGACAGTAGTACACAGGACTTTCCAAAATGATGTTTTGTCCTTCCATTCCCAACTCGTTCCTGATATGAACATCTCAAGGTCCTCACTCTGTCTTCAGCATCCATGCCTCTCCTTACCTTGTTTAAGAGAGGAAGAGAGTCTTTCCCCTCCTCTCAGCCCCCACTCTCAGCAAGTAGATAGAGGGTAGGGATGGGAGAAACTCAGTAACCAATTATAGATGGAACAGTTAGGGGAAATAGGGGGGGCAGTGCATCACTCTTACTTTTTAAACTAAAGATCCAAAGACTCAAAAACCCAAAATATCTAGTTCTCAATTTTACAATGGTATATGTAGTAAAACAAATCACAGGAGACAAGGAAAAGATTCCATTTAGAATCAAATGGAATTGAGGACCCAAAGGAAGAGAACCATGTAAATAATGGGACCTTCACCCCTTTCCTTGCAGAGCCCCCATGTTCCAGGTATACCACAGGGCTTGTGATTATTTGCATGTACCTATTTTCAGTCTAATTTATTCAAAAATTTCTGCATATAAGATAGCTTTTCTCTTTCCTAAGGAGAGTTGTTTCTGATATTTTCCAATTCTGAGGTTCTTTAATTGCCTTTTTTTTTTTTTTTTTCTGAGAAAAAAGTATATATTTAGAATTAGCCAGCTGGACTCAGTTTAGATGATCCCAATTTTGTTGGCAACATCCAATGCATCATAATCAGGAGCCAGTCGAACATATGCCTTCTTCTCTCCATCAGGCCTGATTAGGGTATTGACCTTGGCAACATCGATGTCATAAAGCTTCTTTACAGCCTGTTTGATTTGGTGCTTATTGGCTTTGACATCCACAATGAACACGAGTGTGTTGTTGTCCTCAATCTTCTTCATGGCGGACTCTGTGGTCAGGGGGAACTTGATGATGGCATAGTGGTCAAGCTTGTTTCTCCTGGGGGCGCTCTTCCGAGGGTATTTGGGCTGCCTCCGGAGCCGGAGCGTCTTGGGACAGCGGAAGGTGGGCGACGTTCGTATCTTCTTCTTTTTGTGGCTGTGGATGCCTTTCAGCATGGCCTTTTTGGCCTTCAAAGCTTTTGCTTTGGCTTCAGCTTTGGGAGGGGCAGGGGCTTCCTTCTTTGCTTTCGGCGCCATCTTGGTCTTTAATTGCCTTTTAGAAAAGCACTTGGTGACAGCAAATGGTGGTTAGATTTTTTTCTTTAGATTTCGAAGTAAGTCACGCTTTGGACATGCTGCAAAAACTTCCATGAAGCTGTTGAGGGAAGAAAGGTTTAGGCATGACCTGCTGCAGTTCAGCCTCATGAACGACACTTTCTGGGTGGCTTATCTCACATCTGAAAGCCTGCTTTGTGTAAGAACCCAGGAGGCCTCTGGGATCCATCTAATTTTCTCTCTTACATAAGGAAGGGCAGATCTCACCATCAGAGATATTGTCCCAGTAAGGGGCAAGGAACTCGAAGTGGCCCAGCTGGATGATATTAAAGAGCTCGTCCTGGTCCCTCTCCGGGCTGCGGAATGGAGGGAAGCCACACAGGAGAATATAGAGGATCACACCTGCAGCCCACATGTCCACTTCCAAGCCATAACCTGCACAAACAGAGGCAGAGACACAGCAAATTTGAGACCAGGTGGTGTCAACTGTGGTAGAATACATGGTAGATAATTGCAGTTCTAAATAGTTCTAAGTTATAGAAGCCCTCTGTTCTCACAAGCAAAAGGCACTTCCAAATATATGGTAGGCATTACTACCAACTACCCTTCCCCTAGTGCCAACTCCTCCACAAAAAGGGTCTACACCCATGTTACTCACTCTGCCACAGTCTCACCTATGTGTGAAAACACAAGCAGAGAAATGGAAAACAAATGCTTGGAAACCTACAGCTATATGATATGGCTATATGACATTCAAGTCCAGGACGGATGTTGTCAGATGCTGCATGCAGCATGAGCTGCACTCTAGCCATACGGAGCAAGACCACGCACAAGAGCACACTACTAGAAATTCTAAAACCTGGCCCCCCATCAGTTGTTTGAGAGGCTCTGGTCCACACTAGCGTTCTGTTTCCAATCTATTTATTACCTTCTTTCTCATTTGAAAAATACATACCAGCATTTTTAATGATCATTAAAAGACACTTATTAGCTGTGTCCCACACCTGTGCATACTCTGCAAACGCAAATGTATGCTTTTGAAAACAAAACTGTGATCATATTATCTACATTTCATTCCTTATTTTATTCATGTAATGTCCTATAATTACATTTTCCACATAAGAATTTCTTATGAAGAATATAATAAAATTCTTCACAAACATAATTTCCAACATTTATCAGTATTCACACAATGAATCCTTTGCACTATGATTTAGCTCTTTTAAAAAAAACTTTTTACAACTCTAAGAAGTTTTCTGATGAGCATCCTTATATACAAAATATGTGCATATATCTAATCATCTCTTAAAGTAACTTTCTAGGAATAAAATGTACAAAGTAACATACAGTGAAGTTCCTTTTTTTTTTTTTTTTTTTTGCCGTACCAGTGATTGAACTCAGGACCCTGCGCTTTCCAGGCAAGCACTTATTCTACTGAGCTATCTCCCCAGGCCCCCTTATTTTTTCACACAGTGAAGTTCTTCATACACATCCCAGTCATCCCCTAAAAGCTGTAACAGGACATAAACATTTTCAGGCACTTTCTCACTTTTTAACTATAGGGCAGGAAACAGTTGGCAGTTACAATATGAAAGTCAGATGTTCAGAGCGCAGGCCCGGGAGCGAGAGAGACGACCTAGGCCGCGGGGTCCTGAACAGACCCAGAGTGCAGGCCGGCGAGTGAGTGAGACGACCCAGGCCGGGGGATCCTGAACAGACCTGGAGCGTAGGCAGGCGAGTGAGTGAGACGACCCAGGCCGC